GCAAAGCTGTTGCCACATGGCTGTGTAAGAAAATGGGAGGCCCTTAACTAGTATAAGTTGGTTTGGGAATAACAGAAAAGGTGGAAGAGGCATAAGAAAGAACATGCAGACATTATGTTTTTTAAGAAGATTTATTTTCAATTCTGTGCATTTAAGAAAATAAAATGAAACGAGCTGTGAGGAAGAGAATGTGAACTATTTTAGACATTGCACAGATTTATAAGTTTTATTTATATTCCTTTTGTTTAAATTTCGATCAAGCAATAATTTGGTGGGACTTGGAGTAAGCATCATGTTTAGCTTTTTACTGCTCAGAAATTACTGCTTTCAATGTTTTTAGCAGTTCTTTTCCAGATAAATAGCCTGGGTTTGTGCTGTGGCATTTCTTAAAATTGTAAGAAAATGGGAATAATTTTTATTCCATTAGTATAACCAAAATATGGTTTAAAAATGAACTCTCAGCTGTCTTTTCTATTCTGTTCTGCTTTTACCCTGCTATCCTCAGTTGAAAGTATGGATCTTCCTTGAGAAGATGCCATTAGTTTTGGACTGTTTGCCCTTCTGCAAAGACAGTTTTCTTTTTTGTTGTTTTTGTTAGGATAGTTCCAAGTCAATTAGTTGCCACTAAAAATGTAGACTTTGGAATTTGTTTGGTATCTTATCATTCTGTGGTTCTTCCTCAGCAATTTGAAAAATCAAAGCAAAGCCCAGTAACTGTATTTCTAAAGTCCTGGAACCCAATAATCTCATGCAGCAGAGCAGGTGAGGGTCTGTCTGTCTGGGGAGCAGCTTTGCAGGACTCCATGTCCCAGTAGCCAACAAACTGAACGAGGCTTCATGCTCAGTGTGCAATAAAGGTCAAAATGCATTGAGCAGCATTAGAGTGTTCCTGAAAGCTCCCAATGTACTGGTCTTGGCAAATTGATTTTTTGCTTTACTTCTAGAAGTTGTCTATTTTCAGGCACTTGAAAGCTGTCATGGTTCCTTAGTAGTTTGCCAGAATAAGGTTTAAAAAGGAATACCAAGAATGTTTTTAACCTTTTCTAGAGTGTTTTAAAATAGCTATGTGACAGAAACTATAGTCGCACAGAAAAGTTGGGGCGTCTCCATCCTTGGAGATATCCAAAAGCCATCTGGACATGGTCCTGGTGGCCCTGCTTGAGCAGGGGTTTGGCCCAGATGACCTCCAACATGCTTTCCAACCTCAGGCAGTCTGTGATTCTGTGTCATTTGGTCACAAGTGCACTTTGTGGGATTTGATTGGCTTCCTTTCATATCTGTAGTTATCAATGCATTAGAAAATCAATGAAACTGTATTATTCAGTGGCAAATCATAACTTTGAGTTCTTTAGTACTAGCTGTCGTTTCCCTGATTTTGATGTGTATTTTCTGTGTCCCCTAGAAAAGCAGGATTTTCTATGGGATGTTTGATGCACCTCTACAGTGTCTTACATTGCTGATTTTTGACATTTGCTTAATGATATAATCATACAAAGTTCCACAGAAAGACTAGTGCTGTTGCTTCAGGCATTGCCTCTCCTCCCGCTGATGATTATTACAGCTATGCATGAAAACTCAGTGTAATGTCTTCACTTGGGAAGTGGCCAGAGGATCCAAGTTATGGCAGATAAAATTAGTTTGATCTAAGTTCTCACTGCTCCTAGACATGAGAAAACTCTTTAGGCTTGAGCTGATCTACTTGTATAATCTGTCTGATCTGTTCTGCTGCTGTCAAGGACCTCAGGAAGATTCTTTTATGGTAAATGTTGGCAAAGAAGGACACGCCTTTTGTCAGATTGATAGTATCTAAATTGTTACTTCTTTTAACTACTCTCTCAGAAAGCCTGGTCACATTGTGTCTTTCTTTAGGACTTGGTGGGAATCTTCTCCTAAATTACGGTTACAAAAGACTTCATGTGATATATAACTGGTTACAATATGTTCATTTGTAAAGTTGCACTGTTCAATGATACTGGACCCTCTGTCTGGGTAGGGTTTTCTTTGTAGAGAAATGATGAAATGATCATGCCTTTTTAAGCTATGCTGATACAGCATTTGATGAGTGGGGTTGGCTAACAATAGATAGTGCTGTCATCTGTTCCTTTTATTTCACTAAACTCTTGGAACTGCCCTTTTCATCAAGTCAAAATATGAAAATATGTTTTTGAGTAAAGCCTTTAAATTCTCATCTAGCCTCTAATATTTAGGGGTTTTTACCAGCATTGTGGCAGGGCAGCACTGGTGGTAATCCAAGAGAGGAATGGGAGCAGAGACGGCATTGGCACTGGAGAGAAATTAATTTTGAAAGCAAACCAGAAGATTGAGTGTAATTTGCTGTCAGTCTCTTTGTACCTGGCTTTTACTTTTCTTAAAGCTGATGTAAGTGTACCAAAATTTAATTTAATTTACCCAAATGATGTAGCAGTCAAAAAAAGTGCAGATAAGTGTCGAGTGTTACATACACTGATCTCAAAACATTGCTGAAGTTACGTAGGATTATTCTTCATTCGTAGATGGATACAGGTTTAAGCTAACAGCTTGATAATTCCTGTATAAACTCCTGTATTCTTTTTTCTTTTGTGTTTATTGAACAGTTTCCTTCCAAAATTGCATTAACCACAGAAGTCTAGTGTGTGAGGTGAAGAACTTTACTGTTCTTTAGGCATTGTGGATTTCATTAAGACACCCAGAAGTGATAATAAGATTTTCCTGTCATTTAGCTTGAGTGTGTGTAAGAATTTTTTTTCTAGTATGTATATACTGCTTGGTCTTACTGTCCTGAAAATATCTCCTTGTTGAACCAGTGATGAAGAACGCTACAGATACAGAGACTATGCAGAAAGAGGCTATGACCGCCACAGAACAAGTCGAGAGAAAGAAGACAGACACAGAGACAGGAGACACAGAGAGAAGGAAGAGACTAGGCACAAGTCATCTCGAAGGTTTGACTTTATTTTTTTTTCTTTATAGGATATGAAAGACTTGCCCAGTTAAAAACAAATAAAGTAAACTTTTAAAAAAACCCCAGACAAACTGAGGTTTTGTGGAATGACTGTAAACACTGTGCTGCTTGGAACAAGTCTGCCATGTAAAATGTGGACAGACAAAAAGCAATATTGGCCTTGGGTAACCTGGTACTGGATGATGTATGTGACAGTCATAGCTGGTGAACAGAAATTATAAATTTGAGGCAAAAAGGTTAAAAATGGTGGATCAGAAAGGGATGGAGTGAAGCTGACATTCAGTAGTATAAACATAAGAACTCAACAGTGATTCTCAGTAAGTAAAATAGACCTCATGGTCACTTGATAGAATTTGTTCCAGATGATCCAGATTAAGTTAGAAATCTAGGTAAAGTCCGGGGAATGGGGTCAACATGAATGTTAAATTGTTAAGGAATGGCAGTGGGGCCATGATGTTACTAAAAGTGTTGCTATTAGAATATGGTTTACAAATCTGAAAAATCATTTGAATTTCCCAACAGAGAGGACAGGATGGGTGGATATATGTAGCATTCCTTGAAAAACTCAGCTTGGTGCTGATGTCCAAATACTTTGAGTTGGAATGGGAGCAGGTGCCAGTTTTCAAATACGAATGCAGAAACTGGTTTTTAGTACTTTGTAATTAAATGGGGCCTGAAGTCTCATGCAATAGTTTGAGGCATGTTTCCTCTCTCTTTGTTTAGTAACAGCAGGCGTCGTCACGACAGTGAAGAAGGGGACAGCCACAGAAGGCACAAACACAAAAAATCCAAAAGAAGCAAAGAAGGAAAAGAAGCCAGTGGTGAACCTGCTCCTGAACAGGAAAATACTGAAGCTGCCCCTGTGGAATAGGCTTGTGTGATTTTTGCCTACTTGCATATATATTAGTGCCAGAAATAGATTACTATAAATCTTGTTATTTTTCTGGGAATTATAATAATTTGCCCTTAATCTTGTTCTGTTAGTTTGAAATCAAAGGTTACTTTGGTTTTTTTGAAAATAAAAGAATGAATTTTTCATGTTAAGATTCTTGGACTGACTTTGCCTTTTAAGAAACAGTGAGAAAATATCTTACAGCTAGAAGCTTATGCTCTTACAATATAAGCAGGGCTTAAAGGCTTTGTATTAAATTGTCTCCTTTTTTCATAAGCCAAGGGGAAGGTCATTCTTTTACTGACTTTAGAAACACTGCATTCATTTTGTTACATAGCAACACCTGGAACAGTGTGGCTTTAGTATGGCTTTTGGAGTCATATTTGGAAAGGTCATCCAGAGACAGGCAGGAATTGCAGACTCTTCAAGAACTAAGGTGAAAGAAAAATTAATTTGGGAAAGTGGGAAAGGTGCTGATTGTTCCTAGTCTGAGCATGGTGATGATACATACAGTAGTTATGTCTGGTTTGTGTGAGTGCACAAGGATGAATTAAGCTGGATAATCGTCCCTGCTGCTTTTCAGTGGCTTAAGAGAAAGTTCATTTTAGTCTTTGTTCTAGGGGAACAGCTGTCTGTAACATGACAAAGATTAACAAACATATCCTCTTTCTACTGCAAGCTTGTGGGGAAAAAAAATAAGACTGTGGAACATGGGTAATTTGCAGAGAAAAACAAAGATCTATTTTGAGAGACATGTAAGACCACCATCACTTTCAGATTTACTTCATGCAGAACAGTATCAAGTGCCATTGATCTGGCAGTCCTGCAGAAATTGTACTGCCCAGTCTGAGTGCTGTTTAGAAGACTCACTTGATGGCATTAGCAGGGTGCAGTGTGCTTCCTTAAAAGCAATAGTTCTATATTTAAAAAATCCCAGATTTAGTTGTATTAATCAAAACATACCAGGGAAACAAGGTCATTGGGTTTGGGATGAAAATAATGTCTGTACAAGTACACAGTTACAATGATTTTTAATTATTTTAGAAATTTAATTCACAGTTTTACAGACTAACAAACAGTACTTGAAAGTCTTGAAAATACCAGCTTCATGCTGACCATGAAAAGGTACACATAATCAAAGTGCTATTAATGTGTTGGATAAAAACCTTCACCTGGTAATTGCAACTAGAAAAATTGCAAGAAATTTTTCAATAAGTTATTCAAGGGTTTCTTTTTGCAAATCAAAATAACATGGGTGAGCAGGAGCTGTTGCTCCTTAAATTTCATTATTATCATAATGCATTAAATATATATATATATGTATAAAAAAACAACAAAAAACCTTTAAGAACACAGGGAAGGAAAGACTTAAGTCTGTAGCTTAGATCACTTGAAGTGATTTTCTGACAGGTGTTGCTGCTTTGCCTATACTTGACTTTTCTTGACATGCAGGTTGAAATTTCACAAACCTTTTCTTTATAAATACATACTTGACCTCCCAAAAAAGCAAAGACTGATGCTTCTTTTTTTCTCCTGTGTTAAATTACTTGGCATACTCTCCATAAGCCTTGTTTTATTTATAAAAAAGTGCCAGGCC